GTAAGTGCTGGCTCCCACACAGAAGTAACTCAAAGGGACTTATTTCTGAGCAGGCATTCTAAGAATTGCAACCATAAGGAAGATTTCTGATATTACCTTCTACCTGAGAGCCAGTGTGGTGTAGTGGTTAAGTGGTAGACTCGTAATCTGGTGAACTCGGGTTCGCATCCCGCTCCTCCACATGCAGCTGCTAGGTGACCTTGGGCTAGTCACACTCCTTTGAAGTCTCTCAGCCCCACTCACCTCACAGAGTGTTTGTTGTGGGCGAGGAAGGGAAAGGAGAATGTTAGCCGCTTTGAGACTCCTTAGGGTAGTGATAAAGCAGGATACCAAATCCAAACTCTTCTCCTCTTCCTCTTCCTTCCTCTTCCTTCCTTCCTCTTCCTCTTCCTCCTCCTCCTCTTCTCCTTCTTCTTCTTCTGATAATTTCAGCAGGAATGAATTTATGTCCTTCTGCATGAAGAGTAAAGCTCTACCAATGAGCACACCCATTTTGAAGCTAGTCATCAAACCTTAGCCAAGACATAACAATCCCTTTCAGCATTAAACATCTCCAATTATGTAGAGCTCCTCAAACAAAAATTGCTTATTAGCTATTGAAACAATGGGAGTTTATATTAAACCATTGTGCCTGATAGTTCACTGCAGGCTTCTGTTTCTCCCAATGCTTTACATGCTACACAAAGCAAACCTAAAACCACCTACTGATAAATATACTCTATTGAATTTAATGGGACTGACTTCTGAGTAGAAATATATATGATGGCACTATATCTTTTTGTCCCTTACTTGATTGCAAGATGGAGTTATCATATTTTTGTTTCTTTTTTCAGACATGGACAAGTGCATCAGATGCCCAGCAGATCAGTATCCAAATAAACACCAAGATGGATGCCTTCCCAAGATTTTAAACTTTCTGTCTTACAAGGAAGCTTTGAGCATCATTTTAGCTTTCTTGGCACTTTCATTTTCTGTGATCACAGCTTTGGTACTCAGGATATTCATTAAATACAAAAACACTCCCATCGTCAAAGCCAACAATCGAAGTCTCACCTACACTCTGCTGGTCGCTCTCCTGCTCTGCTTCCTCTGTTCATTGCTGTTCATTGGGAGACCTCAGATAGCAACCTGCCTGCTACGACAAACAACCTTTGGCATCATCTTCTCTGTGGCTGTTTCTTCTGTGTTGGCAAAAACGACCACTGTGGTTTTGGCATTCATGGCTACAAGGCCAGGGTCCAGAGTAAGGAACTGGGTGGGGAAAAAACTGGCAACTTCAATTGTTCTCTCCTGTTCTCTCATGCAAGGAGCTATTTGTACTGTATGGCTCTGTACTGCTCCTCCTTTCCCACATTTGGACATGGACTCTTTGTCTAAAGAAATTGTGGTTGAATGTAATGAAGGGTCTGCCTCTATGTTTTACTGTGTTCTGGGATACATGGGATTTCTGGCTCTTGTCAGCTTTATTGTGGCTTTCTTTGCTAGGACATTGCCCAGCACTTTTAATGAGGCCAAGTTCATCACTTTCAGCATGTTGGTGTTTTGCAGTGTATGGGTCTCTTTTGTTCCAACTTACCTGAGCACAAAGGGAAAATACATGGTGGTGGTTGAGATCTTCTCCATCTTGGCCTCAAGTGTTGGATTGTTGGGTTGTATCTTCTTCCCCAAATGTTATATAATTGCTCTAAGGCCTGAGTTGAACAGCAAGGAGCACTTAACAAGGAGAAATAACTAAGTCATTTGTGGGTCACACGTTCCTTCATAGGCTAAAATTTTGTGGCATCATGAGATTCCTTTCACAAGCACTAGAAACAGGTCAGCAATACAAAGGGCTTCAGGGATTCACTTAAACTGCTGTTGTTACTCTTATGGAGTAAGGCAGATTAGGAGCCATCATAGGCTTTGCAGTTGGTGGCACCTATCCTTACTCCTTCTGTCATTTGAAAAATCCTGATCTGCAGGAACACCTACTGATCTCTGCTGGCTAGTAAAAGGCAGTGATGATTGAAATTACAAAGCGAGCTTTTAAACCAGAGCGAAACAGTGGATTCGGGAGCATTAGTATCCCAATCCCCAATATATTCCCAGCACCAGATACTCCCTCTCATACTAGACATTCCAGTATTTCCTGTACAAACCAGTGTCCTTTCCCCATGTACATCCAGTAAGATTCTGGAAAGTGTCTTGGTTTGTTCAACTTCATTAATCAACAAGGTTATAGCTAAATCTGCCATCCCAATCCCACTTACCTGAGACGAAGATCCATGGAATTTAATTGAAGTTACTTCTGAGTAGTCATAATTTGGTTTGTACTGAGAGCTATTTCTACCATGCTGCAAATCTTAAAATGAAACTTCAAATATCCCTTGATAATATTATAGCTTCTCTTCCATTTCCAGGGGCATTGTAGTGTGAATACACCTCATCTGGTATTAAGACCCTCTCTACCAGAAACACAATTGCACTCCCAGTTATTTTAAAATTTTAATATCAACGGTAATGATAATAGTTGAATGGAGATAATTAATTGAAGGGAAATCCTTTTTGAACAGCATCTGCTTGGAAATTAATTGTTGGTAAATTAACTGCAGAGGGATTAACGGATTTGGGGTGATCTGGAAGTCATGTGCAATTTAATTGAATAAATTTGTGGGGATCTGTGTGTGAATTTAATTGACTTCTGTAAAATTTAATCCTGAAAATTATTTCAAAGTTTGCATCAGTAAATATGAATGAAGATATACACCTTTTATGCCACCATGTGTCCTCTTTTGGATGGTGCATATACCCTTTTATGATGATGCCTGTGGTTACACAAGCAGCTACTATGGGAACTTTTCTTGGGATCATTTAGAAGTAAATTCTCAGTGTTGACCAGGAAATGACCTATCCAGATATGATGTGGTTCCCTCTTACTAATTAATTTATTTTTCCTCTGTCAGAGGAGCGAGGTGAATATGCAATATGGAGACTAGGGCAATGGAGGAAGAGATATAATCCCCCACTCTCCTTATGCTCTCTGTGCCCTTTGCTTTTCTCTCCGCAAGTCTCTCTGGCCAGATAATCAGTGGTTTGTTTGGCAGCTATATTATGAGGTGTTGCACAGGACCTTCTTTTTTAAAAAAATATATATATATATTTATTAATAGTTTCTGAGTTACAAAAAAAAGAAAAAATAGGAAACAACACTAAAATACATAAAAAGAAGGAAAAAAGCAAAACATAAAAACCAATACAACAATACAGCAAAAAGATAAAAAAGAAAAGGGAAAAAAAGACACAAATCCCATATTACATAACTTTAACTTCCATTTGCTTGTTTCATTGACCTCCTCACACCTCCCTTTTTGTATTCTAGTTTAATTAGTTATTTCAGCAAATTCTTTCCATCTTTCTCAATTTTTATTAAATAATTTATCTTAACAATTTAACCTATTAATTAACTCAACAAATCCTTTCCATCTTTTCCCCATATTCTGTTGTTCAAATTACCTTAATTTATTTAACCTTATCTTACCGTAAAATACCTTAGAGCTTGAAACTTAATACTCAATTATACACAACTCCTGATATCATTTCTACTAGAGCCATATAGTTTCATTCCAACATTTTCCCTAATATTCATTAATTTTAGACTAATTCCCTAAATAAAAAATTTTCTTTATAAATTTTCTTCCAATCTTCATCCAACGTCTCTTCTTCCTGGCCTCGGGTCATGTCAGTCCTTACTGTCCATTCCATCTAGTCCATCAACCTGGTAATCTTATGTCCGAGGCCCTTAAGTCTCTTCCATGTCCCTTCTGCAGATCTTCTTCTTCTTGTTTATACCTGCACTTTTCCTTGTCTTTTGTTGGTCTCTTTCTTAATTTCTTTCCTTTCTCATTGAGGAGTAGGTCTCTGGGAGGTTCCAACCCAAAATTATCTCCGTCTCCCTTCATCAAACCAGCCCATTCCCCACAGTCCCACTCCCCACAGTCATCAATGTAATCCAAAAAACATTTAAGAGCATATTTCAAAGTCTCTCCAAAGTTGAGAACCTCCTCAGCTCCAGGCTCCCCCTGGCCCACTCCAACTTCAATCTTCAAAAACAGCGGCTTATGCTCCTGCAGGGCCTCGGATCTCTCCATTTGTATTATTTGAGGTGCAACCGCAACCTCCTCCATTATCTTCTGCACTTGCCCAATCAATACAGGTTCCTGAGTTGGTCCCTGAATGGTTTCTGTATCAATATTCCCTGTTTGTCCACAGTTATTGACCACAACAGTCATCAAATCCGTTTTCTCATTCATCAAATCCATCTTCTCATGCATCTGTTCCAACAAAGCACTTGTCTTGCATAAAGCAAGCACCAAAACTTCCTCCCAGCTCATATTTAGTCAAGGTCAAAAGGACTGGTCCCACGATCTTAATCTCACAGCTGTAGAGTCCTCAAGTAGACTGCAGCAACAATTTAGCAAGCTTCCTCTAGAGGAGACAGTTTCTATTTGTATCCATCTTTTTAAGGCTAGTCCAACAAAGGAAAATTACTTTCATTTTTCAGATATTTTGTTTCTTTAGAATGCAAAAGGCAACATTGGAATCAGTTTATTTCTCTTCTTTAGCTATCTGTCAAAGTATTCCATTCACAGTCAATGAACCTCTCCAACAATTTCTGTCTCTGACACCCCGTTCCCAGGTTAGAGACGGTGGAAACTTATCTTTCTTCACTTCCCCTCCTGCAGGCGTTACACAAAGTCCCCCCCCCTTTTTCTCCTGCTTCCAAGGGGGTTTCAGTAGTTATAAATGAAGGAAATTTAGACTTTTTTAACGACTTTCCAGGCTTTAGCTTACAAGGTTTTTGCTTCAGTCTATATACAAAAAGCGGAAGGTGGACTTCCTGTTTTGAACCTTCCTGCTTCGGTGCCAAATTAAGATATTTCTTGATCCAATTTTCCGTTTCTACTCACGGGTACTTGTTTTAAATCCAATTGTCCACAGGAAAAAGTCAGCGCTCTCTGGCAATGGCTGTGCGGCTTCACTCCGTGCAAGTAGCAATCAGTTCGCAGCACTGCGCCGCTCACCCCACTTCACTCCGGAACCCCAAAATGGGGTTCCCCGTGAGTAGGGGAGGTGCACCTGGTGCCCTGCCAAACCCCACGTTCCCAGGCTTCCTCCGCCTGGGATTTCTAGCGGGTCCCCACCTTCTACCTCAGTTTGGCAGAGGTAAAACAAGTATTTAAAATAATGTTTCAGTCACATGACTCTTTTGACAGGCTGCCATGTCACGTGGCTGAGTAGATCAGGGTTAGGATACAACCTACGTCCCCCTCTCTGATACGTCTCCCACAACACCCCCAGAATTCCTCTTTTAGGGGGATTATGCTATCTGAAGTTCCATTGGGCTCATCTCAGCCAGCTAGGTCCTGGCTCAGTCAGGATGGGAAGATATGCTGATGTAGCACACCTGTACCAGTAACCTCCAAATTCACCTAGAAGCCCACTGTTTCCTCACTCCACTAATCCCAGAAGATCTTGCTATAGGATTGTGTCATTATAAGAAGCTTTCTGTCTGTGAGGATGAACTATGAGGGGAAAATCATTCTTTAAAAAGATTTGTCAACTGTACTTAACAGTTAGATATCTGCTCAGGTAACAAAAGATACCCCCACACACACACACACAAACGCAAACACACTGCACAACACCAACATGCTGAAAATGATGAACTTGGCTTCATTAAAAATGTTGGGCGATGTTCTAACAAAGAAAGTGACAGCCAAGCTGACCAGAGCCAGGAATCTCTAATTATCTAAGGACAGAATAAAATGTAGGGATGGGTCTTTCATTACATTCAACCACAATTTTTTCAGCTAAAGACTGTGTGTGAAGTAGGGGGTATGGCATAGTTTCTCCTTCCCTGTGCAAGTTTCATTGCTCTTTCCAACCACAGAAGGGTCTGGAGATAAACAGCTGAAAGCCTGCTTCTGAGAGTTATCTCTTTTATATAAGCTGTTTCTACTTCACGCAGCAACACTATAAAATCCAAAGTAGACAGTGTTTCTGCATATACAGTAGCTACAGTGACCTGTGCTCTAGCAATCTCCAGACTGAACTATTGTAATACCCTTTACAAGAAGCTGCCCTTGAAGATGGTCTAGAGGTTGCAACTAATGCAGAATGCACCTCCCAGAGTACTGATTATCATAACTAATCATGCATATATAGCACTGATGTAATGGGAATGGCACTGCTTGTGAATCTATTTGTGAGCCCAGCTCAAGATACTTGATGCTGACATATAGCCCTACATGATTAGTAGTCAGGGATGATGGCAGCTGGAGTCCAATAACACCTGGACAAGCATAAATTCCCTATTCCTATGGCTCCATCCCAAGGCCTTTAGTTTTCTGAATGTATTTTCTTACTCAGTGTCATTCTATGCCCAGTTGTTGATCTTGATCCCAGAAAGAAACAGCCCTGAGATAATACCCAGCCAACATGTTTTCTTCTGCTGTTCTGCTCTCTATGAGCAGAGCACTCTGGGAAGCTGATTTGTAATTACCTTATAATTATGTCAAATTACAGTAATTCTTTCTTCACAATGACAACATGGATTTTCAGAGACTAGACTCATAATAAGTAATCAAGATGAAAATACATATAAAACCCTATTTATGTGCTTTTCAGAGCTTGGGGGTGTGGATGGTGGACAGGAAGAGCAATTTTACAGGTCACATAGTGGCTTCAGGAGAGTGTAGAAACAAATCTGTTCTGAACCAGCTGATACTAGATAATAATGAATTAGCCTGGAAGAGTGGGTTTGCTTCAGTAGAAAAGAGTTCGCTTTGATGTGCAATGCTGTTGTTGTTGCTGCTGTGGCTACTGATGTTAACATTGACATTTCTTCCCCAGATTGAGAGCAAGGCACATCCACCTACTTGCAGTGTGAACAATCCCCTACAGATCCCACATGAGTATTATGAGCAGGGCGACCTCATCATTGGTGGTATCTCTTCTCAGTTCTTCTCTTTCTTTAACACTATAACCTTTGATGTACACCCCAATGCAATGTTTGTTGGAGATTCTCTGTAAGTATCTTTCTTCCATGAGATGTCCATAAGGAGATCGTTGGGAGTTTTTGTTATGATTCCAAATGATAGATAAATGGGTTGTATCCAAAGCAAGTCCTACCTGAAGTAGACCCTCTGAAATTAATGAACCTAATTCAGTAACGTTCATTAAGTTTGACTGGACTAGCATTGCATACAGCACAATGTTCAGAAATAAGTCACTGTGTTTTTAAAAATACATTTTTATATTAAAAAAATATGTTTTCCATGATTCATGTGTGTATATGGGAGTTAGAAAATATATGTGCACACCCTTGTTCCCCTTTGCATTTTGCCTTTCCCTCCCCTGCTTTATCTATAGTCCCCTGATCTGAAACCTCACTGCCTGGGGTTGGGTGTGTGTAAATTTCATATGGTTTTGAAGCATTTAAAGATGTAATAATGATAATGTGCAGAACAGGCCTTTTCACGCATTACAGCCTTGTAGTGGCAATGCAGGTACAGTGGGGTTTCACATTTAACCCAATCCTCAAGGCCCCTCAAATTCTCCTGGCCCCAGCAGGGAGCCTTTTAAGTCCATGGATGCTCTACTGGTGATTCAGAACCCTGGAATATCTGTGTTCTCAATTACATGAGGATTGCACAAATACAAAAGGCTCCCTGCTAAAGAAAATCACTCTCGAGATGAGAAGGGATGAAACAGTCATTACCTTGTGTTATTTCCTTAATTGGGTCATTGGGTACAAGTCAAAACAGACAGTCTTGCAGGTTCCCACAGTACCATGTTTCCTATGTCATTAATGCCTGCAGAGTTCTCTGTACCAACCATGTGAACTCGACAAGTAGATCATGAGGTCTAGAAAGTTTATGTTATAACCTGCACTCTCATTTCAGTGTAGTGATAAAATACTACCAGTATGTCCTGGCCTTCGTGTATGCAGTTAAGGAGATCAATGAGGATCCCAGGATTTTACCAAATGTTACATTGGGATTCCACATCTATGACAGCTACTTCAATGAAAAGTTGACATTTCAAACCACTCTGAACCTTCTTTTTAGCCAGAAAAGTGCAGTCCCCAACTACAAGTGTGGCACACAGAAGAATCTGATAGCTGCCATCGGAGGACTTGATGCTGAAACCTCACTTTACATGGCTACCATCTTAGGCACCTATAAGATTCCTCAGGTAGGGTGTATATGTGAGGCACATGGGTTTCAAAACCTCCCTTGTATGCTCAGAACTGGCACACACATATATGAATATGTGAAGGAGAAAGATAGAGAAGACATGAATGTGATGACAATAGAACACCTTGCTTCATTTTGGAGCAAATCTGCTTTTTAATAAATCTCTTAAAAAAGAGAAAAGCATATATTCTCTTTAAGGGTTTAACTTGCTTAATGATCATGAACATCTCTGCAGCAGTTGTCTGTCTGGAAATGGGAGGAGGGGACCTCTTTAATCAACGTATAAATTATAATCAGAAAGTTGCACTGAAATATGTAATGGTATAAGCAGAAATGGTGCATAAAGTTAAAGGGGAGAGATGGAAGAGATGTCTTGTGGAGTATCTTGCCAAGTTCCAAATAGTACATAAAACAACACAGAAAGTTGTTATATACTGAATCAGTCTATCAACTCAATTTTGTCAACAATGACCAGAGGTTTTTCTGCAGTACTTCAGACAAGGATCTCTCCAAGCCCTACTGCAAGATTCCAGGAATTGACCCTGGAACATTTCCCATGCCAAACATGTGTTCTACCATTCAACAATTGCCCTTCCACCTAAAAATGATAATAATAAAAATCAGTAGTATGCACTTGGAAGGAATGATTGGGGCCATAAGCAGCAACACTCAAGTCCTTCTCCTACAGCACACGATGGAGAATCTGGTGAAAATTCCCATTATATCATGTTAACATATAACTCAATGTATTATGCCAATAAAGGCTGAATGAATGAATGAATGAATGAATGAATGAATACAGCTCCATGTATTGTGGACAAAACAGATAAAAAGCAAAGCAAAATTAATGAGAAAAGAGAAGAACAGAGGGCGAATGGAGCATATCTTTACTACTCCATTCTAAAAGCACACTTGGGCTGCCTACAACCTCCTCATTTGTTCTTTGTTGCATTCAAGCAACATACAAAAAAATGAACCATCAATATGACAGAAAAGGACGAAATTAAACACCGTATCAGTAATATATAAAAAAACCTATATCCATTGATAGGAGTGTTTATAATATATCAAATAAATGTTGTGCATGTGCCATTTTCTGGCAATATTCAAGAAATGGTACCCAATCTATTATGAAATTGTTTCATTTTTTTTCTCCACCATTCAAACAAAGTTATTTTTGACATAAATGCATAGTCATATACTTTGCCATCCGCAGCAGAAATTCACTCCTCCACTTTTTGGCATAACAGCGTCAAGTCTTTACCACTGCAACCATAATCATTCCTTGAAATTTCAAAGGCAAATCTTTTACATAACTGTTTTTCAGTATGCAGACTTTCACTGTTAGAATCTTTTCCAATTTTGAAAATAAATTTTCTCTTGCATAGGTCTCTTACTATTTATTTGGTCCTTCTCTGAGTTCTAAGATCCAGTTCCCTTTCATCTACCGGGTGGTCCCCAACGAAGAGTATCAATACATTGGAATCGTTCAATTACTTCTGCATTTTGAGTGGACATGGGTTGGGATCATTACACTGGATGATGATAAAGGAGAAAATTTTGTGGGAAGGTTGATGCCAAGACTTTCACAGAGTGGTATCTGTACAGCATTCACTGACAAGATGCCTCCCTTGACAGACTTCTCTGAAATGCATGAAGTGTACATGAAGGCAGAGAATATTTCTCATTTTTTCAAGAACAACTCAGTCAATGCAATTGTTGTATATGCAGAAACTCACTCCACATTGGGTTTGAAATACATGCTAGTACAAGCGGACGATACGGCAGAGTCTCTAGGCAGAGTTTGGATTCTGACAGCGCAGTGGGACTTCCCAGCACTGCAGTTTCATAGGAACTGGGACTTAGAAGTCTTCCAAGGAGCGTTGTCTTTTGCGGTTCACTCCACTGAGATACGGGAATTCAAAAAATTCCTTCTGACCTTAAATCCCCACTCACCCACTGGAGATGATTTCATCCAAGATTTCTGGGAACAAGCTTTTGACTGTGTATTTTTAGATTCCCCTGTGGATGGGGAGAACGATGGAACCTGCACTGGGAAGGAGAAGCTGGAGAGTCTTTCTGGACCATTTTTTGAAATGAGCATGACTCCCCAAAGCTACAGTATATACAATGCTGTTTATGTCATAGCACATGCTTTACACACCATGTACTCAATGAAGTCCAAGCCCAGACCAAACCCGCAACCATGGCAGGTACTACGTCTTTAATCAAAATATTTTGAGGGACACGAGTAGAAAGAAAGGTGGTGTTCTAGATTATGCTACATAGGCATGGTTCTCCTGCCCCCCCTCACTGCTAGCTTCCTTAAGAGGACAATACCCCATCACCCATCAACTTCCAGTGTAGTCTAGTGGAAGTCATGATGTCCTCTGCCTCATGCAGCAAAATGTCTAAGGGCATGTCATGATGTCCTCTGCCTCATGCAGCAAAATGTCTTGGACTAGCACTTTGCACTGACTAGAGGTAATAATACAGGTGGTGACCCATATGAAATGGTTGTTACTTGTATTAGAAGCTCAGTTCCTGGCCCCGCACGCATCCACAGAATGCATATAAGTGCACCCTGCATCATTCTGCCACATTCCACCTCACCCCGTTGAGCCCCTTTCCGCTCCTGTTCTACCTTCCATGCATCAGCAATTGCACATCAACTGAACATACCTGTACTCAAAAGTGATTAATGACAGACTCACGTTAATATCTTGAGTTTCTGGGTCTAATCAAAGAGCTGGCTTTTTACTTGAAAACGTTTCTATGGCCATCCTGCGCATGAGGTAAAGTGAGGCAACCGCATCAGGAGGAAGGGTCCACCCAGTGTAGCAGATCCTGATGTAGATCTTTCTATCTTCACCCTTGCTCCTAACATAGATCTTCCACCATCATCCTCTTCTCAAGTGGGGAGGGGCCCTATTTGGGGGTATGCCTCATGTGTCAAAATTTCTTGCCCAGCCCTATGGTCCAGAACCATGATGTCTCAAACACTCCCTTCTCCAAAACAAACTTATTTGTTCATGCATGTCAACAATGGAGTTCTTCCTCTGTGTGTCCCCAAACTGTGCCATGTCTCATAACCATGCACCAACAGCAACTGAGCAACTTCATAGAACAAACCCTCGACCTTGGAACTCTCTTCTACCTCTCTCATTTCTGTGGTTCAGTTGACAATTTAAAATGATCCTGCTTCTGGTGGCATTTGGGATGACTTATTACATTTGAGACTCTTGCTGTTTTCTGGCTACTTTTGTTTAAAATTGACTTTCATGTTAATTATGTTTTATCTGTTGTTTTATGTCATATTAACACCATGCTCGTAATTGTCAGACTTAGTGCATGCTATTTAGAATGCTGATCAAATAGGGTTGTCAATACCGACAGGGGTGAAAGCACTCAGGTTATAAATCACAGAGGTGGTGGAACCAGCAGGCACTTCCCTGCTCTCTTTCTCACATTTCTCATCTAATACTGAAATAGGCTAGAGTGAAATTTGTAAAATGATATACTGCTCTACCTCCCATAATTTTGTAAAGGTGTTTTTGCCTCTTCAACTGTAGATTCATCCTTTCCTGAAGAGAATCTCATTTAACAACAGTGCTGGGGACCAGTTGTCTTTGGATGGGAAAGGTGAATTAGAAAGTGGATTTGATATTATAAATTGGGTTACTTTCCCTAACAAATCCTTTTCAAGGGTGAAAGTGGGAAGATGGATCCATGGGCTTTTTCAGGCAGAGAGTTCATGATTAGTGAGGAGATCATCACATGGCACAGCAAGTTTAAGCAGGTATGCTCTGATTAATGGTTATCACTGGATAACCCCTTAACTATTCATGTACATCTGAGAAGTTTTATATTATTATTATTATTATTATTATTATTATTATTATTACAATGTTATATTTTGATGGCCTATAAAAAGACATGAGTGGAATTAATATCAGGGCTATGAAGGCCTCCTCTCTGAGCCATGTAAATCAGAGAAGTCATTTCCCAGAAATTATGAACCTGTCCTGCATGCACAGTGCTCTTTCCCAGGTCTTTGATGTCATTCAGTTAAATCTGAATCTTCCCTTGGGAACAACATGTATTCAGCTTTTCCTCCCTTATCTTTATGAATAGATGTCACCCGCTTCAGTGTGCAATGACAAATGCAGCCCAGGTTCTATTAGGAAAAAGAAAGATGGGGAACCATTCTGTTGCTATGATTGCGATCCATGTCCAGAAGAGATGATTTCTGTGGCCTTGGGTAGGTGACACAGCACATGATCATGTTAAAACATTAACACATAAAGTAGGCATGGTTCAGACTGCATCATCACTTCCAAAGCAATATAAATTATTTCAGAGATTCTTTGCAAGAAAACCAAGAGGAGTTAGCATTTATTTATTGTGCTTTCATGTTCATGCTTCCAGGATAGCAAACAGCACCTACATGCCCTTGCATTAGGTCACATTATATGTCCTCTAATGGCAGATAGATGATAGATGATAGATAGATAGATAGATAGATAGATGATATAGATAGATAGATGATAGATAAATGATAGATAGATGATAGATAGATAGATATAGATGATAGATAGATGATAGATAGATAGATAGATAGATAGATGATAGATAGATAGATGATAGATAGATTAGATAGATAGATAGATATAGATATAGATATAGATATAGATATAGATATAGATATAGATATAGATATAGATAGATGATAGATGATAGATAGATAGATAGATAGATAGATAGATAGATGATAGATAGATAGATAGATGATAGATAGATGATAGATGATAGATAGATGATAGATAGATAGATAGATAGATAGATAGTCCCTCACTTGTTTGGGAGAGGGAGGTATCATCATTTCCTTTTTCAGACAGCGACAAGTGCATCAGATGCCCAGCAGATCAGTATCCAAATAAACACCAAGATGGATGCCTTCCCAAGATTTTAAACTTTCTGTCTTACGAGGAAGCTTTGAGCATCATTTTAGTTTTCTTGGCACTTTCGTTTTCTGTGATCGCAGCTTTGGTACTCGGGATATTCATTAAATACAAAAACACCCCCATCGTCAAAGCCAACAATCGAAGTCTCACCTACACTCTGCTGGTCGCTCTCCTGCTCTGCTTCCTCTGTTCATTGCTGTTCATTGGGAGACCTCAGATAGCAACCTGCCTGCTACGACAAACAACCTTTGGCATCATCTTCTCCGTGGCTGTTTCTTCTGTGTTGGCAAAAACGACCACTGTGGTTTTGGCATTCATGGCTACAAGGCCAGGGTCCAGAGTAAGGAACTGGGTGGGGAAAAAACTGGCAACTTCAATTGTTCTCTCCTGTTCTCTCATGCAAGGAGCTCTTTGTACTGTATGGCTCTGTACTGCTCCTCCTTTCCCAGATTTGGACATGGACTCCTTGTCTAAAGAAATTGTAGCTGAATGTAATGAAGGGTCTGCCTCTATGTTTTACTGTGTTCTGGGATACATGGGATTCCTGGCTCTTGTCAGCTTCATTGTGGCTTTCTTTGCTAGGACATTGCCCAGCACTTTTAATGAGGCCAAGTTCATCACTTTCAGCATGTTGGTGTTTTGCAGTGTGTGGGTCTCTTTTGTTCCAACTTACCTGAGCACAAAGGGAAAATACATGGTGGTGGTTGAGATCTTCTCCATCTTGGCCTCAAGTGTTGGATTGTTGGGTTGTATCTTCTTCCCCAAATGTTATATCATTGCTCTAAGGCCTGAATTGAACAGCAAGGAGCAGTTAACAAGAAGAAATAACTAAGTCATTTGAGGGTCACATATTCCTTTATAGGCTAAAATTTTGTGGAGTCATGGGATTCCTTTTACAAACACTAGAAACAAGTCAGCAATACAAAGGGCTTCAGGGATTGGATTAAACTGCTGTTGTTATACACTTACTCTTATGGAGTAAGGCAGATTAGGAGCCATCATAGGCTTGATAGATATAATATATAAACTATATATGAAAGATGCAAAGAAATCAGGAAATCCCTCCAAAGTCCAATCAGTGCAGTCCCTTCAATTCCCACCCCCATCCTAAAGCAGTGGATTACAGTATCACAAAAGTTATATGGAGATCACTATGTGATTTCTGATTCTAGCAACTCTTATGGCCTATTCCCAAATGACCCATGTCACCCTGTTTCCTGCAATAGATCAGAGCATATAGTTGCAGATGTGTTTTACTTCAGAAGTTGCCCATCTACTACTGTCTTTTAAGATAGTATTTCCAGTTCAAATTATCAGAAGTAATGTGTGCTCCTGACTATTGAAATTAAGCTATCTTTGTTGCACACAATTCCCCTTGGGCATGCTTCGCTGGAATATTTACCTAGCCTGGTGTACAAATGATTGGGGACTGTGACTTGAAGGAAGCAGAAGCAGAGTAGCCACGCAGGTCCGACTTTGTGAGCAATTTAACAATATTCCTCTGTATCAAGATCATTTTCCAGGATGGGGATTCAGAACAGATTACAGTCTGCAGTGAAATATAGCAAGCAACACTGAACAGTAAGATTACAATGAATGCATGGTGTATAAAGAGCTTGATTCATTTTTTCTAGCACATAATGTTATTTCATACATTTCTCAGTTGTCAAAAAGACACAATTGAGTCACATTCCAGTTTTAAAGATGAGGCATCTGAGGTTGACAGATAGTGAATTTCCCCATAGCCACTGTGTGAGTCTTTAAGCTCAAGACTGAATTTGGCGTCTCCTCAGTCCAAGCGCAATGTTTACTTCAGACATGCATTTTTCTCTAAATGATTCCACCATCAAGCACTGACTTGCCATATTCTGATTTTTAAAAAACAAATAAACTTGTTTTAAAGCTTTGGTTTTTACTGACAGTTTCAATGTATTTTTGAAAATTATTCTTTGCAAGTGTTTAGAGGTTTTGTTTACAATTAAGCAGTGTGTGTGTGTGTGTGTGTGCATGTGTGTGCATTGTTAAAGAAATAAGTCACAGTTCAAACACTAGAAACAGAACAATTGAACCTCCAGATGTATGGGCAGTATACTGCTTAATAACAAATGCTGGTAGCATAGAGCACCAGCTGTATCAAATCCTGTTTATGAATATCTGGCTGGCTGGGAACAGTGCGAGACTTAATGTTGAACGAAAGCACAACTAACTCAACTTTTCGTCTTGCTGCTTTCAAAATCCAAGGAGAATTTGGGATGCTTGCCTATGCTCCATTTTTGTAAAAAGGGATTCATTACTGCTATATATTGGTCTTTCACACAAAAGGTAATACCATTTACAATGTCACCCCCAAATTGTTTTCTATCGGCAGAAGGGGAGCTGTGACACTGCAGATGTTGCTGAACTACAACTTTCATCATTCCTGAACTTTGACCATCATAACAGGGGCTGATGTGAGTTGGAGTCCATTAACATTTGCAGGGTCACAGGTTCCCTACCCCTGTTTTAAATTCAAGTATTTGAATTTAACTGAGTTGTGGATCATGCTAGTCATGATCTATTGCAAGAAATTAGACAGCAGTATACAGATAGACACCGAAATGATAGGTCTTCTTTCTTTCTTTTTCTTTCTTTTTTTGTTTGTTAACTTGGGTATTCAGAGAAAGCTGCAGTTAATTTGCTTTTGACAAACGTGCAGTAGCCTTAGCAGCAAACTTCACAATGCTTCATTTTTAAATCAGAAAGAGGAGACAGACTGCATAATGAAGCCATCCTTGAAAAGTCAAGCTGCTCGGGAAAGTGGGATAAGAGGTCATGTTGCAACAGAATATTATGCAAGTGCTGTTGGATAAAAGGATAGTGCATGCCACAAAAAGTGGTGTAGAATATTTAGAGAAATTCTGCAATGGAGCCTTCTAGGGGATGCAACAGGTCAGGCATGGTAGGATGGGAGCCATTGCAGAAAGTGGGAGAACATTCAATGAACATTTTCCAAAATATTTTTTGGGAAGAGAAAATGAAAAAGATTATTGTTCTCAGAAATTTTCTCATTAAGAAATATATCTTTGGGGAGATGTGAGGCAAACTCTTCCATCTGTGACTGTTCCTGTTCCCCTTCTGAACTTCTACTCCTTGAATGACCTTTAATTCCCCAAGAAGAAATATAGCCCCTTCCTTCCACAAACCCTCGGACTGGATCAGATATTCCTATGCTGAGATTTATTTGAGGCTTCTGCAAGGAAGTGTTCCATTTATTCATGGAACACTAAAGAAATAAAAGAGCTAAGAGTTTAGGATGGGGAGATGGGCAGAGTTGGGAAAAGTGAAAAGAATTGAAATCAGCCTCAAGGCTCCTGTGTATTAGCTAATCAGAGCTGTAGTGCATTGAAAGTGCCTGTACTTGCACATGTAATTGTGTGACTAAGTCTTACATTTCAGATCTCAAATTTGGAATGAAAAACAAAATACCTGAAAAATGCTACATCCGTGTTTCTTCACAGATGACACTGCCATCACAGATGATCCTGAATGAAACAGCCGTCACAGAATTTATCCTCCTAGGACTCTCTGACAATCCTGAGATTCAGGTCCTTCTCTTTGGCATCTTTCTTGTAATTTATCTGGTGGCTCTTTTTGGAAACATTTTAATTTTTCTCATAATCAGTTTGGACAACAGACTTCACAACCCCATGTATTTCTTTCTGGCCAATCTTTCTGTAGTGGACATTGGCTACACAACCTCCACAGTCCCTAAGATGCTGATGAATTACCTCTCTCAGGACAAGAGTATTTCCCTAGCTGGCTGCTTCTCTCAGATGTACTTCTTCATCTCCTTTGGTGGCATTGAGTGCCTTCTGCTGGGTGTCATGGCATATGACCGCTACGCAGCCATATGCCACCCACTGCACTATAGTGTGCTCATGAGCCGAAAAGTGTGTGCCTGGCTCGCAGCAGCTGCTTGGATCCTTGGCTTGTCTAACTCAGGTGTGCACTCGGGCCTGATGTCCCATTTGTCCTTCTGTCGGGACAATGTCATCCAGCACTTTTTCTGTGACATCCCACCCCTATTCCAGCTCTCCTGTTCTGACACTCAGGTCAATCAGATTGCTACTTTTGTGGTGGGTGGAGGTGTGATCATGGGTTCCTTCCTGGTTACTCTGGTGTCTTATGTCTACATAGTCTTGACCATCCTAAGGATCCGCACCAAAGAAGGGCGGCTCAAGGCATTTTCCACCTGTGCTTCACACTTGACTGTAGTCAACATTTATTTTGGTACCATCATCTTCACATACATCCGTCCCAACTCCACTTACTCCCAGGAGCAGGACCGGGCATTGCCTGTGCTCTATGGGATCCTCACCCCAATGCTTAATCCAATCATCTACAGCTTGAGAAACAAGGATGTGCAAGGGGCTTTCCGAAAAGTCATGCAAAGGACTTGATAGAAGGGGCTGAATTTTCAGAACCCACATGACTGTCAGTTTCCCATGCTTTTTTCTTTAGATAGGCCTTGGTTACACTTCATGACAAAAAAACGAGAAGCTCTGTTTTGCTTGGAATGCCAGTGAGTGGGCACATTAAAATATTAAGCAATATTTACAGTGTTCATAAATATTGTTGTCATTGACTAAAGCAGAGAAGCCAATAAAAAGTGTGAAAGTCTGTTTTGCTCTTGGATCATTCCATACGAAATGCACACAAGCCTCCCTTTGTGAATAATGGCTAGTGTGTAGACAGGTATGTGCACCCATGGAACTTACATCGAGTATAAACAAAAGAGAAAGAGAATGTGGAAAGATGAACCATGCCATAAGGATTTTTTAAAAAGATAATTATCCATTTTAAGCAGATGTGAATGGGTATGGCCCAGCCAAAGTTAGCTACTTTAACATCTCATGGCTGTGAATAGGAAACTCAGATCTCTTGCTTAACTTTTTCCCTTTGAAAACAATATAATTTGCATGCTCCTCCAAAATTCTAAATGTCTTTGTAAAGGGCCCCTGAAGAGCTCCCTAGAGCATTCCTGCAATATTTTGCCAGCTTTCTTTTTTATATGTTCTCATATAATGGGAAATCAAATGGATTTTCCACAACAAAAACATGCTTAGATTCAAGTTTTAATTTAAACAACTCTCTCATCCAGGCACAGTGAGAATGCTTGCTTTCAAATCCAAATGCCTTTTGCAAGTTTTCATCCCAGCAGCTGTATCACCTCTCTTAGTGTTAACCACTTGAGTACAGTGGTACCTCAGGTTAAGAACTTAATTCGTTCTGGAGGTCCGTTTTTAACCTGAAACTGTTCTTAACCTGAGGTACCACTTTAGCTAATGGGGCCTCCTGCTACCGCTGCACAACCACCACATGATTTCTGTTCTCATCCTGAAGTAAAGTTCTTAATCCGGGGTACTATTTCTGGGTTAGTGGAGTCTGTAACCTGAAGTGTCTGTAACCTGAAGCGTCTGTAACCCGAGGTACCACTGTACCTGAAATACTATCCAGAATAATAGAAACTGCTAAATTATGCTTCAGTTGCCATTTCCTGGTGTGGAACCAGAGAGTTGGGGTCTGTTTTCTAAGCCCATGCAGCTCAGTTACATGACCTGACAAGCTGGCCTAGGACACTATTTGAAAAGGTTGTTTTCCCCTCTGCCAACCTTTGGCAGAACAGCAGCGACAACATCCCTGATGCTGAAAGGGGTTTGGCTCTGGTGTAACTTTATGCCAGCTTCATTACACTGACTTGCTTTATGCTGGTAACACTGTTGGCTACTAATGTGGTGTTAAATTAATTTATTTTAATATTTAATATCAGAATGTAAACTTTTAAGTTTATTT